TATATATCAATACTGGTTCACAAACCTTTTATTGAGCTCACCAGTGAGAAATTTTGGGAAAGGTGTGGAACGGTTAGGTTATTTAGACGGAGTCGAGTGTAAGACAGACATTTCAAAATCAAACGCAACAGGAAGATATGTGGGAGCGGAATAATCGAAATCTAAAAATGTATAAAATGCTGTTGTAGAAAACCTGTTGCGGCAGCGGATTTCCTAAATATTAATTTCGTAGCACTTATCGTGCTCAGAAAACAGCGGCGCTCGTGCAACCACTCGTTATTCTCCTAACGCCACTCTATATGAATTCCCCACCTTCCGCTTGAATTTGCTTCGACATTCCAATCTACATTTTGCTCTTTTATCCAAATGGGCAACCAAAACCGGCGCATGAAAGTGCATGGTTAACGGCTGTAAAAACTGAACTGAACTGATGCTCGGAAAAAATCGATGAACAAACGAAGGCAATTCAGTTTACGAGAAAACGACTCACCTTAAAATATACCGCCAGTGCCCAAAGTAGGCGCAGTCCGCGTACAATATCCAGACGACAAGCTGCGGCAGCTGAGGAGCGCGCTTCTCTAACAAGAACCAATTGGGTGAGCAGTTCCTGACCAAGATCTTTGTCAAACAAGACCGGAGCAGATCGCTCCAAAAGCACTTTGCAGCTGCGTGCATAATTCATCTGGCTTTCAGAGGTTCCTGTACTGCCAGAAGTGGGTGAAAGGCGTTTGAGCAATTCGCGCTGAAAAAGTAAGCAAAGAAACATTCTCCGTGTTAGCTGTAATTGTAATTATGACTTTTGAAGGCGGAAAGCCTATATTTCGGTCAAGGAGAAACCTGATGTATTTTGGACATATAATAACGATAAGCGGTCACGGACTGAATGTTTGTTTGGTGTGCTGGGATAGGGAAACGGATGGGAGGACTGTGCAACAACAACAGTGAAAGAAAAGATGTAACGATGGGCAAGAAATTCAGCAGTTTTGATGTACTGACCATATGGACACGACGTCGAAGAAGCAAAAACAGAGGAGTGAGCCTTTAGCACCTAAGACGAGCTGAGCCACGGTATGTTCACTAACTCTATCGTTCGGGCGTATAACGAAGTTCCCCAAGGAGCGAGCGGATCGAGAACGAAGTTGGATACGAGCGTTTGTAATATAATGTGACCTGCAGTGATAGAGTGTACGGAGGACCAAGCGCACGATACCACTCACCGGAAATTGCGCCATCTTCGAGGTCATATGCGATCTCGAAACAGAGGGCAATAAAACAAAATGGGGCTTTTACATGAATCATGGCGTTGATAAGTGAAAATAATGTCACTACAAGCCCGAGAAAGTGGTTGGTCCACATAAAATGGAAAAATTTAGAAAACCGACGAGGTATACAGGTGTTGATTAAACTCCTGCAACATCACTCTCATTTTGGAAATACCTTTCACTCTACAATGTCATACTTGTATATTGATGTCTATAGGTAAAGTGTATTTATTTCTGATTTTATCTCCCACATCTATGTTCTCAGTTCTCTCCTACCACCGTATGAATTTGTGTGACCTTAGGTATTGCGATAAAACTCGTAGTACTTCGAAAGTATTTTAGGCAAAGCAGCATGAGAATTCATTCTTTTTAATAAATGATTCCTGTTCCATGAGAGCGATTATTAAAGTGAGCAAACGTATTCAAAATTGGTCATCACTTTTTTTATTCGGTGCACAGCAAGTAAGCAAATTACAAATCGCTCAGGTATTATCTACAATATTGAAAGAACTGAAAACACAGTCCAAGAAAAATAAAAGTTCATCTTCCAAAGTTCACCTTGAAGTGTGCCGCTTGTTGAATAAGCGTCTCGTAGTGTCACCATACCCAAACTGACTGAACCATTCAAAAGGTTTTGGCATATAAATGAAGCCTAGAGGTGACTCAATCCAGAGATGCATAAATCCGATGACTCAGTTGGTGTTTTGTGAAAGTGCTTCGATGTGAACATAAGTTCAATTTGTTGCATATTCAACGAAATTTCTCCATCAAAACACAAACCGAAACGGAAAAACTCATCATATCAAAGCAAGACGATGGTTGTACTTGATCGCGGCAGAGAACAGTTGCACAAAACCAATCTGGAGGATATTCTGGGCTGATTAGCCGTTTTTCTTTACACTTTCGTTTGAAAAAGGATGGCTGAATTTAAAATGCGGCTGAGGCCACGTGATTTGAAGCCGTTATAAATCGTGATATGAAGCCAATATGGAATGCNATGCCCAACAAATCGAAGGACGTATGGATTTTATCAACAAATTCAATTCGCGCCGCCTGTCCATCTGGCAATAGGTTTATCTCACTGGTGGCCAACGAGTAATTCAGCATGGGGTGAAAGCTGATCTACTGAGGTAGTTTCCCAATGAATTTCGTTTTAAGTGTCAAAAGAAGTAAATATTCATTCAGCCTGACGAGTTAGAACGGAAGTAACTACTGCCTGCTCACACCAATCTGGATATGGCAAAATGTTTGGCACTGATAAGGGAGGTTTTTAGGTAACTGTTACTCTTCAAATGCATCTGCGGAAGTCATATTTTTCACAGATGAAGGTTGGTATATCTTCTCGCTTGAGGTTTGTAGTAGAAAACCGTTGGACCTAATTAAATATTTTTTTCACATTTAAACAGTCTCTGGAAGGGTGAAGTTCAATATCAAATTCGTTCAATTACCGCGCAGCAGCTGGGATTTTAATTTAATCGAAGACGTTTCCCTGCACCAGAAACGGATAAGTTAGCTTCCTCGACATTGGTCACCAGTGTTTAGGATGTGCGATGTATTAGAGGAAACTTGCAAATTCTGTTTGAAGCCAACTTGGTGGACTCCATGTTAAAGCAACTGCCTGCGATGCTCAGAAATGAAGAAGGGCAAATGGAACATGGACGAGATGAAAGTAAAATACCTGTATGATGTCTATGAGTCGTTTTAATAAATAAATTCTGGTTACGTTTTCTACTGTGATTTTGTTATTTTACAACTGATGCACAAGCGATTGTCGTCAAAATCGCCAAATCGCACAGTTTAATGGCATGTGGCTAATAGAAGCAAAGATATAAGTGGGTATTATATCAGACATGTTGGCTTTGATGTGGGGCAATGCCATGTTTAACCCCGTGAATGAGGCTGGAAAAACGAAGCAATGAGAAGAACAAATCTAACGAAAATCAGGATGTTGAACGAGTTTGGTCAGTAACTGCAGGTGAATGGAGTTATAAAACGAAGTCATATGACTTGCTAGATTTCCAGGCAATACAAATGAACGGAAACGAATGTTGAATTGAATGTCCAACGGAATAGACATTCAGCGGTTGCTTCGGTTCAGATTTGAGTCAAACCCACTAGTCACCAAACTGGAAGATGATGCCCGCTAGATTGTGCGTTATTCAATTGGCCGTTGGGTGCGAGCACCACAATCTACTAAGGATTGAAATCCAGTTCACCTGATCATGCTACCTTTGAACGGGATAAACGTCCAAGATGACCAAAGCACCTCAAAGCCCAATCAAGCTGGTAGTCACTGAAGACTATAAGTATGGTACGTACTCCTCTTTTGGTTGAATTGGATTCAGGGATTTTAGCCAACTCGCCCAGATGAACGACCAGTCGTTCACTGATCCGGTTATAGCCTTGGATATTGGCCTGTCGACTGTTCACTTCGGCGGGGGAACATCTCCGCTACGTGAAAACTTCAGTTTGGCTTCTTCAGCAAAGACCCTTTGATAGGCTTGGTCGCACAGGAGCATTTGGCGAAATGCAAGGAGAGCGTAACCAGTCGCAATCAAAGACACTCTTGACCATACTAAGGCTTTCGGGACGAGTGTGCGCTACAGCTTATCAGGCTGGAATGCTTAGAAAAGTATGTATGCACTTCGATTGTGTACCCTGTGAGCTGACCATAGAAGTTCACTTTATTCAACTTCCCGCTGAGAACGGGCTAATCCCGGTCTGTCTTATGAATTCCCATTTAATTTGTGTACATTGTGAGCTTGGCAGTAATCGGTGAAGTTCACGTAACTGTATTTCGTTGTTTGATGATCATGTATATGAAATCGGTTATCTATCACATTTCACTTACAGTTACTCGTGAGTAGTGGTGTGGGGTAGGCGGTGTTGATTAGAATGACCATCTTTTCAACTTCAACTTTCGGCATCACTTTCAGTTAACCTTACACTGAGGAAGTACCAGAATTCAAGTTTCAATCATGGTAGAGCTTAGTAAGTAGTGCTGTTTCACTGCACTGCCCGGGATTTGAACTACCGTTCTCCCACATGGAAGGAGTGTGTAATCGCTGTATCAACCAGCTCACAAGCAATTCAACCACAATTAACCATTCAGGTGTGTCATGGATATCGACTGCAATTATAGTCACCTAGTTCCTTGTTTACGGCAGCAACGAAACACGAGAGTGGACTATCCTAGAACTTCGTTCGGAAAACTCACCAAGTTGTTGATTTAATCAACTGAAGCAGTGCACAGTAGAATCCTTGTTGGACAATTTCTGTTCCTCCTCTTCTGAACGGTGTATGAAGATAAAGACATGTTAACCACTCCTATTTCTCTCGATCTTTTCTCCTGTGCTTGAACAGTTTCATCAATAAACCGCAGAGAGAAAGTGATTTAAATGAAGACAATCTATGCGAAACGAAGTTGATTTTTGATAGTATCTGTTGTGCCTTTCTTGCTACATTGAAGAAACAATTTTATTTCTTCATTTGGAGCAAGGAGAAACTATCAGAATCAATTCGTTTTCCGCTCCGTATTGATTTACCATGCACCAAGAACCGGAAAGAGTAATCACTCCAGTGACTAAGAAACACACCAAGATGAACGCAACGATAAACTCACCGAACTCATTCCGCTGAGCCGAAGCTTCGACAGTTGTATTTGCAGGTGATTTCAACGCGCAGGTTGGAAAACTGAGCGCAGCAGAACCTTAGCTAGGCGGCAGTTGCGCTCTGCCCTGCTAGCGAACAGATAACAGTGATCGACTTCCACAGATCTGCACAGACCATCATATGTTCCTTTCCAGTAACAACTTCCGACATACTCTCGCCGGACGGCAGCGTGGCGCTCCAGTTCAACTGGTACGCTAACTCAAATTGACCGCAAAGCAGTAAGCTACCGTTGGTGTGGCTCAGTGCAAAATTGCAGGTCCACTTGGACCACCTGCGTCGAATCTGATCACGCATTAGTTCTTATGCACTTCACTCTCCAGCCCACTGGACGCAGAAAACCACACCAAACACGATTGGCAAATCATCGTTTATGTGAAACAGCCATTCGTGCCCGTTTTGAATCAGCAATAGGACAAGAGCTAAACGCGCTGCAGCGTGATAGTGTAGATGAACAATGGGACCAGATTAGATGAGCGATGCACTCCGCAGCGAGGGTCGCTTGTAGATTTGAAGCAGTAGCACGCCCGGGGCATTGGCTATCTGATGAGTCAGTAACCCTGATGGAGAAAAAACGATAAATCCCGACCTGACAGGATCAAAGTAGAGTTAGGTGGCATCTGCAACGTCAGCTCACGAAGAGGCCTCGAGACGGACCGTGAGAACTGGTGAGCAACAATGGAAGTGGCAGCTGCACAGGGGAATAGTCAAAGACTGTTCCG